TGATTCTATTTGGTAGTTTAACTAGTTCGTGAATTTGGTGCTGGCTTCGTTGTTTTGTCGACTTGTGTGATTTTTTTTGATTGGCTGGATGGATGGATGGTTAGTTGGTTGATTGGTTGGTTGGTTGGTTGATTGGATGGTTGGTTGGATGGTTGGATGGATGGTTGGTTGATTGGCTGGCTGGCTGGTTGGTTGGTTGGCTGGTTGGTTGGTTGATTAGCTGGTTGGTTTGTTGGCTGATTGATTCATTCACTGTTCAGCAAACATTTCATTTTTTGTTGTTCTTTAGGTTATTTATTAGTAATAACCTTTCTTACGACCATTTACTGGAGTAATTTTTCTCCAAATCCTGCCAAAAACCTCTTCTAATTTAATTAACGTAATTAACTTATTTATATTAATTAATTTAATTAACGTAATTAACTTCTACCAGGTGTCTGAATGGGGCGAAGGACCCTAACTCCGACCAGAAGGGTGTGGTGTGCCCGTGCACCGAGGACGACTATGGCTGGTTGGTTGGATTTCTTTCTTTTTTCTTTTTTTTTTTTTTTTAATCCATTTTATTCACAAAAAATCCCACAAAATTTTATTTCTTTTATTTTTAATTATTAAAAATTATTTCTTTTTTTTCTTTTTGCACACACACATATATATATACACACACACAAACACAACATACATACCCACACACAGACATAAACACACATACATGCACACACACATACGAAACGAAACGAACTTTTTATTTGCTTTCCATAATACATACATTTATACATACAAAATAAAACAAACACACAAACGAACATACACTTACACACACGCACACACACACATACATACATACACATACACACACACACACACACACATACAAACATACATACAAAATGAACAGTGATTACGGGTACAGAAGAGTTAACGAGACGTGTGTTAAGGATCCTAGCGTAACTGACTCTGATGACATTCACATCTGCTTTAGAAATAGACATGAGAGATATATATTCAAAGGGTAGGTTGTTTGTTTGTTTGTTGTTGTTGTTGTTTCTGTTTGTTTTTTGTTGTTTGTTTGTTTGTTGCTGTTGTTATTTGTGGCTGTGTTAATGATATCAATGTTGTTGTTGTTGTTGTTTACCTCTTTGTTATCGCAACAAACTACACACGCAGACAAACACAAACAAACACACACATCCAAACACACACACACACACACATCCAAACACCTCACAAAGGTACCACAAAGTACCTGGCGATGTATGCGAGGGAGGTTATCAACCGGCAGAAACTGTAAGAATTGAACTGGGCACCGCATGTGATGATGACATCTACATAAGGAAGCTAACCCCTCTCGAGATTGAGGTCCGTGGCTCGCTTGTTTGTTGGGCGCTATATAAATTACTCTTTGTGGTTTTTGTAGTTCGGCGCTATATAAATTACTTTTTGTGGTTTTTGTAGTTCGGCGCTATATAAATTTTTTTTTGTGGTTGGGCGCTATATAAATTACTTTCTGTGGATTTTATATTACCATCTCGCCACAACACGCCACACCATTGTATCATTAGTTGAAGGAGGAGAAGCAGAAGTATCACGTCAGCTCTATCCTCTACATCTTGCTGATCTGCGCCATTGTCGTGGCGTTCGTGGCCTCATTGGTCTGGTACGTCATGTGTTTTGGAAAGTTAAGAAGGTCGGTTGGGGCCTGATGGTGGTGGTGGTGATGCTGATGATGATGAATGATGCTGATGATGATGATGATAAAGAAGATGATGATTCTGAATATTCTGAGATATTTTTGCGGAACCACACACACACAAACATACACGCATACATACATACACACACACACACTCACACATACTCTCACACACGCATGCACACTCACACATACACACGCATACACACACACATACATACACACAAACACACACATACTCACACACACACACACACAGACCCATACGCTATAAATACGCGAGCATACGTAGCGACGACATCATAGACGATTACGAGGACAACATCAGCGGTGGAGATCTCGGCGACGGAAGCGCTAGCTTAGTGGCTGCAGCAGCCACAGCAGCCACTCCAGCTGCTGTTGTGGCTAACAGTAGGAAGCCACAGCGGGAACAGTACAGGAAGATGGAAAGTACTTCGATCTTTGACCAATCTGATGATGAGGTTGTTCTTCTTCATTGTGTCTTCCTTGCTCTTTTTATTATTTTTATTATTATTATTTTTTATTATCGTTATTTTTAATTCTTTTCCTTAATTGTTCTGGGAAACCAACGACAACACACACACACACAAACACACACACATCAAATATGGATAGGCGCGAATCATTCTGCATTCAAACCCCGTCACTGCAAGAGTAGGAGCGGACGCCTAAACCGTTACACTACCTGTTTCACCCACTATTCCTCATTCTTTACAGGCAAGTCCGATAAACAGCAACAACGACTCGCCACTCGTCCACATTGGAAGCGGCCACAGCAGCAGCAGCATG